ATAATAATAATCCGAGCAGTTCCAACAGGGTCTTCGCACCCTTTTGGGTGCTCGGACCCTAATAAGAGTCAGACAAACTGAATAAAAAGCCTGATTTACTTGGTAAACCTGCTGAGTGACGAGCTGATGCTGCAGGTGTTTAATGAACTCAGAGGAAATCGTCCTGAACAGCTGGAAGCAGCAGACTTTAGCTTAATGACTGAATGTAATATTCATGAGTATTAATAATGTGAGCTGTTGGTCTCTGGTTTTTATTTTATTTTTTCTTAGCATTACTTTGTTTTCAAGACTTTGTGCAGGTTTCCAGAGTTAATGGAGCTGAAAAATGTTGACTTTGGTTTGAAATAATGTGTAAATAAGTCAGAAATAAGCCTGATTTATTTGGTAAAGCTGTTAAAATGCTGCTCTCTCCTTCCTGTGGATCCTGCTGCTGTTTGAATCTACAGGTGTTTAATAAACTCAGAGGAAATCCTCCTCAACAGCTGGAAGCGACAACATGTCACATCTCGTGGGGGAAAACGGGGGATTACGTTTATTATCGGTAAATATAATTAGCTGAGCTGTTGGTCTCGGTGTTGGATTCGGTTTGACGTAACGTGCTGGTAAGTCAGACTAGCAGCAATAAGCCTGGTTTATTAGCTGAAAGCTGCCTTTGAGTCCAGCCCCCGAACCGAACCCCTCCGCTGCTGCTTTCGTCTCGCCGTGACGTCTCCCGGAGCCCCGCCCCCCGCGGTGCATTGTGGGTCCAACCCAAGATGGCTGCGCCCTTGCAGAAGTGCTGAAGAAGTGGCTCTCCGGAGAGATTCTCGGGATTCCGTGCGACTTCCGCCGAAACCGTCGCACCGAATCAGCCCCCAGGGTCGCTGGTTCGCGGACCACACGACCCCCGTCGTCGCTCAGCGTGGCCGGTGCTTCCCGTGGCTGTGGCCGAGTGTCCGTGTGAAGATGGGCCTCGTCTCCAGCCGCTTCCCGTAGCGAAGAGCCGCGGGGAGAGGAGCCGCAGATTCCCCTGCAAACACGCACCCGTCCAGCTCGGCTTCGACGGCTTCGACATTCTCTACAGGCTGTGGACGCTGCCTTACAACTTCCTGACCAGGATCGTGTGCGCGACCGTGTCTGTCATCGTCCGGAGACGGAGAGCCTCCCCAGCCCGGGTCGACCATCCCACCGCACCGAGGTGTGCATCTGCCCGCCGCCGCGCTGCACACACCGGCGCCATTAGCGCACATGTGTCTGGTTGTTTCTGTGCTTCGCTGCTGTTCTGGAGGAGAAACCTGCTGCAGCCTCTCGTGCACCGTGACAGCCGCACTTTGTTCCTTAACGGCGGGGGGAGAGCTGTCCGGTGGGCTAGCTTAGCTCATGTGCTAACTGCTGCTAGCATGTGAGGAAAGTTCCTCCAGGTGCATCCTCGTCCTGATCCAGGTGTTTGTGTGGAAACAGGCAGACCAGCAGCTGCAGGCTGGAGGCAGATGTTTGGTTTCACTTCTGGTTTTCAGTCACTGCAAACAAAACTAGTGAAGCAAAGTACAGACCTGACACCAAAGCAGGACTGATGTGTTTTCATTAGTAATTTAAAATAAGTGGAAATATTCTCATGTCAATGCAAAGCCGTGGAGGATGAGAATGATGCATGAAAACAAACATTCCTACATTTTAGTCCCTTTTTCGTTGATCTGAATTCACCAGCTTGGCTCTGAATCGCTGTTTTCCTGTAAAAGCTGATCATCGGATCAAATCGGACCAGAAACATTTACTTGTAGGTGCTGGACACACGCTGAGCTGTGTGGAGCTGTTTTTCTCGGGACCTTGTGATCCTGATGTTTGCTGTTTTTGACTGACGCTGATGCTTCGTTTACGTCCACTGAATAGAAATATCGATCTGTGTTTGAGTTTGTGGGTGATGTAGATCCACTACGCTTGATTTCATACGTTCTCGCTGGTCGGAGGTTGTTAAGCGTCACACAAGTCTCCGTCTTGGTGCCTCTTTACGATGTTCTCTGTTTGCTCGGCTGGTCTGAAATACTTGACGTGTTTATTATCCAGAAAAGCAGCGTCGGGTGTTGGCAGATGTTGAAGGTGTCTGATCGGGACGTTCCTACTTTTTCCGGCACCGGTTTGGTCCAAAAGCATCCCAGAGAGCACGAGAGAGACAAAACGTTTTGCTCTACAAATTCAAATCTGAAAATAAAACTTTGCTGCGATGAAAACGGAGACAAACGGCTCAGACTGATCATTAATAGTCGTGGATGTGGTTTGGTTTTATTGAGAAGATCTGAACAGGAGTTTAGTTTGTTGCTTCCGGCTGTTTGTAGGCGTCTTATTAAAATACACGAGACGAACACGTTTACGCTCAGCGGCGCCACAGAGTTCATTAAACCATCATGACTGGTAATGACCCCCCACAGCTGGTCCCACTGGGAACGTTCCTCCACCTCAGTCCAACCACAGACTGCTCTGTCGCCTCCAGCTGTTTAGGACTGATTCCTTCATTTATTAAACACCTGCAGCAGCTGGATTCACGTCATTAGTTAGTTTTAAATGATGAATCATTCCTGGCGTGGAGACGGGATCGATCAGGGTGTCGCAGCAGGTCACCTCAGACACGTGAGCGTTCACACGGAGGTTATAAACCACATAATCCTGCTGTTAGTTTAAGTGTAAAGCGTGAGGAAGATAAAACTGGTCTGAGTGAAGTCAGAACCAGAACAGGAGGAACTCTGCAGTCAAATCATCTCTCTCCACCTTCACACGTCCGACTGCTGCTTGTGAAAAAAGTGCAGCAGAACTTTTAATCTCCAGCTTTCACTTTTTCCTTCAGCCGATCCTTCGTGACTCTCGTTGTTTGAACTGTAAACGTCTTGGCAGCTGTTCCACAGTTAAAGTTACTGAAACCATGTAGGAAGGTTTGAATCAAAGTCAGCATGTCTGTCAGAGAACTGCTTCGTCGGTCCGTGGCGGTAAAACATCTTCCCCTGATTTGTGACGTCCGTCGGCTGCATCCTGTTAGACGGACGTTCAGGAGTTGATCTCGTTTAAAACTCCTTCGTGCTGCTTTCTTCTTGTCCTTCCTTCGAGCAACAGGAAACTTTTCTTGTAGATTCTCACAGTCTCCTCTAAAATCAGCAGGATTTATCTTCAGGTCGAGAGCTGTGTAACCTGATGATCGGTGGAGAAGACTGCCACACGCTTTAGTTCCAGAAACCTCCTTTCTGTTGTGCAGACTGTGTTGTCTGCTGTATTATTTATGCCTCTGCTAAGTAGCTGCATGCTCGTCTTATTTGGGTTTGCCAGCGTTGTGCAACGCGTTCCCTTTGGCCTGGTGGTTTGTTTTTAGCTCGCACGTGCTCAGAGGTGCAGCCGCGGCGGCAGGAAACTCCTTCTGATCGCTGCTTTTGTTGTTGTGTGCCGAGCAGAGAAGCCTTTATTTATTTATTTGTTTATTTTATAAACCTGTTTTGCTAACATGAGTCTCCCCCCTCCTCCCCCCTGCAGGGCTCTAATGAAAATGGACTCAGACTTGCTCCACTCGCCGGCCGTGGGCCTCGCCGAGGAAGAGGAGGCCGACATGAACGACTGGAAGCTTCCCCTGGCCTTCATGAAGAAGAGGCACTCGGAGAAGATCGAGGGCTCCAAGGCCTTGGCGCAGAGCTGGAGGATGAAGGACAGGGTAACGTCTCTGCTCATCGCGTTTTAACTGTACAAAAGAAAATCCCTGAGGTGCAGCTGATGAAAGATAGTTGGTGTGTCAGTAGTAGAGCCGTAGATGTTGAAGAAATCCTGACGTTGTGATACTTGATGAAGGAAAAGCTTCACCTGTGTTCTCACTGTTATGATCATCTGACGTCAGACTTGTGTTGTCCTGTCTTGCATGTTTCATACATTTCTGTGATGATCATTGTCAGAAAAAAATCTGTGTGATGTCTTCAAAACGCTCTCTGCACATTTTCTAGCCTGTACGTTGTTCGTATGACAAACCGTTGTCGCTCTTTGGTACGTTGTGTTTCTGTGAACGCTCTTTGTGCCGGAAACGTTCAGCGTTTGATGTGGCTTCAGGCCTCTGATTGTAGCGTCTGTAAGTTCCTGGAAGGTCTCAGTGTGGTGACGTTCTCTTTCTTGGAATTCATGCGTTCATTCTGACCCAGTCGGTGTTGGTGTTGTTTTTAAAGCTGGTTGAACATGTCGCTGCTCTGATTGCATGTGATGTGCTTTACCTCCAACGATCTGTTTCTGCTCCAGATGTTTGATTTTTGCTCTTTACTGTCCGTCACTGTTCTTCTGTGCAGCTTCTTCACAACATTCACGCTAAAATCCTGTTTATGTTTTGGATTAATTGTGGGTTTGGGGTGCTGATGCTAAGCTAATTAGCCTGACTGTTGGCCTGGTAGATGGTGACGTCTTCTTGTTAAATTCTCTGCTGGGAAGAAAATCTGGATTTCTGTGTGGATCCTGTAACACCAATAAAGTCGCAGATGTTGTCGTGCTTGGCTGTGATTGGTGCGCTAAAGGAGAAGCTTCCTGTTGGTCAAACGGCGCCACGCCTCGAATCAAATGCAACGGCACTGCTCTCAGGGGGACACGAGTCTTTAGCCAATCAGCGGCTCCCTTCGTCTGCTTCATGGCGCCGATTCATCTCGTTGCGCTCTGACGGGGAACCTCGGAGCCTTTCTCCCCCCGTGAGCGGCCACTCTCAGCTCCCATAAAGCTGTCGTTTGATCCACCGCGCCGCCACCGACCTGATTATCTCGCTGCCTCGCGGCTACGCAGCGCTGCCGTTATAATTTTTGGCAAATGTCACTTAGTCATACATAACCCCTTCGCAAACTCTGCAACCCGTCGTAGAAATTCGCCCGAATGAAAATTTAACACTCGGGACACGAGTTGAATTACGGCGCGGCCCGAGCGTCGAGCTGCAGGGAAATGAAGGCGTCATTAAACGCGAGGCCACTATTGATTTAAAAGAGGTAATATGGGCCCGGCTGAAACGGGCATTCCTATCAGAAAGTCGTGCTAAATCGACTGCGTACCATTTCTCACCGCTTCGAGCGTTTTCGGGCCGCGGACCCTCATTTGTAAACTTGTGAGACGAATGTGTCCAGAGCTTGGAGAACCGGAGCCGAAGGAGTCTGAGCTGAGCTCCAGGCTGGAGCTGGAGCGGCTGCAGAGGGACGAACGCACGAATGATGTGTTTGCTTTCCTCTGAAGACGACACGCGAGGTCGAATCCTGCAGCTTCGCTTGTTTCGAACACATGCGGCGGTTTCCTCGTAATTGCTTTTTTGCTGATTTAAGCTGATGGACGGTTTCTGCAGTGGCGGCAGCGAGGATATCGAGCGAGTCGATGCTCGCCAAAGCCGAGCGAAGGCGTGCGGCGCTGGGCTTACGGCCGGGCCTCTAAACGCCGCTCGGCACTGTGGGAAACCACAGAGTCGTCTCGGCGTGAATACAGGAGACGGAGCCGGACCATTACGAGCCCCGTCGGTCAGGATCGCTGTGTTTGTGTTCCCCCGTTGAGCCGTGTGTGTGTGTGTGTCTCTGTGTGTGTCTCTGTGTGTGTGTGTGTGTGTGTGTGTGTGTGTGTGAGAGATGCTCGAGTCGCTGCACCTGCCAGGTGTAATCATGATAACAGCGTACGAGTGGCTGCGTCGTACGACAGAGTCCAAGGTCAGCGGCTGCTTTCTGGGAATATTCACAACTTCTCAGCTCTTATCTTTGTCAGGACGAGTCGGACACGCCGGGTGGCGACTTGTTTAGAACACACTAAACTAGTAAAATACGATAAAGATTTTAAAAAAAATGTTAGACTTAATATCAGGAAAAAAATGTTGTGAAATTCTCTCAGGTTTTTGGCTGCTCACATCATGATGCTGCCACCGCCGTGCTTCACCGTAGGATTGGTGTCGGCAGGAGACGAGCAGGAAAATGACTTCTGCTCAAAGATTATCTCTAGTTTTTTTCTCTTTTTTTAAATGTATCTCAATATATAACGCTGGCTGTGTGTGCCAGGAGAGAAAATAGATGAAGAAATTAGCATTATTGAGATTTCTCTGCAGACTTTCCATCTGTCTTTATGTTATTATTACTTCAGTTTGCTCTTTCAGGTGATAAGAAATCAACTTAAATATTAATACATCTACATTTTAACCCTCTAAACCCCAAAACCTGCCAGTGAGTTTAAAAGACTGTTAAAAAATCTGTATTTGTGCAAAATTACACCAAATCTAAGCTTAAAATTGTCATTACATCTAAAAATTAGCCAAAAATAAAGTCTTTGTGCGAACCAGAATCTTCAAAAAATGAAAAACTGTGCCGACCGTGGAGCCGTTACTGATTGACCAACAGTCACTTCACCAAAACTCAGGAACCTTTCGGCTGCGTTTACGCCGAGCAGAACGGAGATAAACGTGGACACGAATTAAAAATGGAAGCAGGTGTAGATCTACGGCATGTGGAGCTGCCATTTGTCAGTGTTGGTGACACTTGTGGGCAAAAAAAATGTTTTAAATTATGATTTAAAGGTTATTATTATTATATTATAACCCTTACAAATGAACAAAATCAACAAAATTTTATTTTTTTCATTTTAATTTTTAATGATTTATGGCCACAGTGAGTAAAGATGTGACGGCAGCAAAACACGATGAGTTTATGAGTAATCCAGACGTGTGGAGACGGATGCAGGTTGGACCTGTGATTAAACTTAGATTAAATTCACATCGATGAGTAGCTGGCATCGTTGGGAAGGTGAAGTTCACAGTAAACACTTCAATTCAAACAAGAAGACGGGATTAAATTTGTCGTGATTCTTGATTTCCAACCCATCGAGCACACGTGCAGAGTTGTTTCTGTCAGTTGCAGTTAGAAGACCAGAGGCCGGTAGAAGCGTCGCATCTCCTTCATTGAGCTGTCGGACCTGCAGAGTGGAACTGCAGCCGTCGGCGTGACGGGGACTTAATGAGCGGGACGAGCTTTTACACGGCTTTGATTGACTCCCGTTAATTAAGCGAAACACTGAACTCAGTCAACAGCTTCACATCTATTTCTGTTCTGTCCTGAACACGACGCCTGTGTCTCCATCGCACACAAACCTGAAACTCGAGCCGGCGAGGCGAGCGTTAGCGGCTCGGGACGCTATCGATCCTCCTTGTTTTTAGCCTGTTAGCTCAGAAACATCAGCGGGGGTTTTCCTGGTTAGGAATGGGCCTTTGGGGGGCGACTACATGACAGTGAGCGTGATGGGTCTGCTCACAGTGAAGCCAATGAGTCTCTTTTACCTTATTGGACAGAGATCAATGCGTGTTCCTGTTATTCTGGACCATCTGATAAACAATGTCCGAGTAAACTGATTTAAAAAAGCTCCAAAACAACCTCTGAGCTGGAAAATCCTGATGAACCGACACTGAAAGTTGCACCAAAGTCGAATGTCGGAGGAGAAAAACACTTTCTATGAATGCTGTCTAATGCGTTCGAGGCTCCTGCATAATGCATCAGCTTCATGGATTGCAGTGGCTGCTAATGGTGTTGTAGCGTCGCCATTTCCATGTTGGCTTCACCGCTACCACGTCTAAGGTTAGGGCCTGGTTCCATTTTGGATCCGGTTGTTGGTTGGCATGATACCATGATTCATTACAGCATTAGTGAATCGATAGTCGACCCTTTTATCCTTCCAAAAATATCCTCATCAACCGGCGTTCAATGCTACTTTCCCGGTTTCATTCATGGTGCTTCTATAATACCGAAACTTTCAACAACAATATTGACTTGGATGTATCGAGCTTTCTTCAGAGACCTCTCAGGTTTTGGCTGCTTACATCCTCCCTGTGATTCTGACCGGTGTCCATGATGCTGCCACCGCCGTGCTTCAGTGTTGGCAGGTGATGAGCAGCGTCACACATAATGTTAGAGTTCTGCCCAAAGATTATGTCTCATTAGACCAGAGAATCTTCCTCCTTGTGCCCTCAGAGGGCTATAAAGGCTGTCCACCTTTGCTTTCCTTGGTTAAAATAACGAACATCTCTGTGGTTACAGTATATGAGTTCTAGCTAGTTAGTGTTATTTCTGTAATTGCTACGCCAAGACTTTTAATTTTGCCATCGTCTTGTGTCTTGTCTTGTGGCTGCATCCATCTTCCCTGTGATTCTGACCGGTCTGCATGATGCTGCCACCGCCGTGCTTCAACATAGAAGTAGTGTTAGCAGGTGATAAGCAGCGTCACACATAATGTTTGTAGCTCTGCCCAAAGATTGTGTGTCTCCTCATATCTAATTTGTCTTTTTTCTGTAACAGCTACAACAGCAACTAACAGCATTGTCTTGACTATATGATGCAGTGGTGATCGTTTCGCTTCAGGTTTTCTTCAAGGACTTCTCAGTTTTTTGGCTTTATGACCCGTTCGACCGGAGAGTCTTTCCTCAGAGTGCTTTTGTCCAAACTGGGTGTTTGCGACGGTTGTTCTTCCGACAGGTTTCCCATCCCTGCAGAGGACTCTCACTTGAATCCGTCTGTGATTTTATTCACTAAATCGTGTCCTCAGACGGTGTACAGCGGAGGGAAACGGTAGCGCCAGTAAATTACCGTCCACTAATGCAGCGTGGGGCATTTCACAGATACTCATGGACGACTCGATAAGTGACGTCGAAAGCTCAATTTACAGCTCGCTGTTGAGTAACCT